AAAAAAAAAAAAAATTTAGTTCTAAGGTATAGAATTATTTAACTTCTGAGAAGCGTCCGTGGAATCCATCTGCCCACTCAGTGGCTGGGTATTTGCCTTCTGGTGTGAAGGTTCCTGGCGTTCCTGGAATGCCCCGGCTGTGAAGCTGTGGCCGGCAGCATAGTTAGGGGCTTCTTCCAGGCTGTGAGCCACCCCTTCACCCCCCGCCGGCCGTTCCGGTGCCATTCCTGTGCCGTGAGGAACACTGCACTTCAGATAGCCCACTTGTTCCTTCTTACTGCTGATTCCTGTGCTACTCGGGAAGTCTCTGCCTCGCTCTGTGACTTCAATTAATTCCCTTATGCTTTCTTCAAAGGGTTGCAAAGGGTTAGTTTTGATCAGTTTTTGTTTTTTTTTTTTTTTTTTTTTGTTTTTTTGTGGAACCGGGGATTAAACTCAGGCCCTTGCGCTTGCCAGGCAAGCGCTTATTCTACTGAGCCATCTCCCCAGCCCCTGATCAGTTCTTAACTGGGGGAAAAACATTTAACAGTCTTCATTTTGTCTAGTTTATCTATTTATAGGAAGAGTAAGTCTTAATGCTCTCAGAGCATTTTAGCTTTCGCAATGACTACCCTTCAGGGATCAGGAAGCCCTCCTGGAACCATGCAGCCATGGCCCAGTCACTTCAGGAGGCGTGAGGCCACCAGTCTTTCCCTACTCCCCCTCCCTCAGTGCAAGGCCTTGTACGGATGAGGCGGGCAACAAACACTTGTGGTTAGAAACTTGATCTTACCTCATTTCTCTCATCGACATCTTTGCACTTTTCAAGAAGGGCTTTCAGGGCAGGAATGTTTTCTTCCTCTACATAGTTTATTACACTCTGTGATATCAGAACTGACATTTTCACAGAAAGCTGCAGTTATCTTTATTTCGATACCTATTAGACAAAACATACATCATTTGTGGTTAACAAAGAGCTAAATCCCTCCTAAGCATATTCCCAGTCCCAGCCTTCCAGGCTGGTACTCAGTGGACAAAATGCTGACAGACAGATGTCTTTCCCCAAGATGCAGCTCATCCTGAACTCAGCATAACCCAGGACTGGGCTCCAGGCCATCCCCGAATGCACCTGCTCATCATCCCCAGAGGGAAGCAGAGCCCCTGCTCCCCCGGCTGCCTCCAGTCTGAGGCAGTACAGCTCCCACGCATGCCCTCTGGGTCCAACACTGTAGACGCCCCCCGACTCTCTCTTCCTCTCACAGTCAGTCCACCGATGGAGCCATCTGCCTTGGCCTGCAAAGTGCATCCTCCCTGAGCTCTTCCTACATATACCACAGCCACCCTGGCACAAGCCCCAGTCTCTCCCTGCCTCCCAGCACCCCAGAAAGGGCTCTGCAGCCAGATGCAGTGTGACAGCTATAAGGGACATGGTGGAGCCCGATCTTCTGGATGCCATCACCAAGTGGCCCCAAGCAGGGCCATCACACCCCCAAGGCTCACCACTGTACATATCTGGACAGAGGCAGCAAGCACCAAGCCAACTCTCCACTTCCCTCGGGACACCATCTAGATGGGTTCTGTGGAGCAGGAGCTAAGGGAAGGAAAGCAGCCTGACCCTGACCCTGACCATGACTGGCAGGCTCCAGTTGGGCACTCACAGTGAGGCCCAGGGTTCTCAAGGGAACAGAGCAATTTACCAGAGCAGCATCCTCAGATAATGTCCCTCTAGGACCATGACATGGGACAAAAGCAAGACCACTGTGGACTCACCTCTAAGCACCGATCAAAATGCACACAAGTTCCAAACCACAAAATGCCTAAACAGCTCCTTAACTGGGCTAACACGAATACTGCTGCTTCCAAAATGACACCATTAGCCCTACTCCTTTCTGCCTTCTGAGTGAGATTTAAAATACCCATTTCCTGAGCTACTACTCCACAGCCTGAAGCATGGAAGCTGGGCCTGCTTCCCTGGACTGTCCCTACCCCAGCCTGAAGTCCATCCTTGGGGCGCTCACAGACACCCACATCTCCCTGTGCCCCAGCCAGGGAGTCACATTAATCTTGAGTGTAACCTGCAGATGCTGTTAGACAGGAGGGCATAATAGCCAGGGTTCTGTCAACTTCTGTGAAAACACAGTGTTAAAGTGTGCTGTGTACATACATAAGCATCTAAATCCCAAAGAAAAGGGGAACTTAAACCCAGAGCAAAACCTATGATATGCCGCCATGGCGAAGGGCATGCACACAGTGTGGTTGTGTATGACAGAGAAGCCCCCCACATGTATGCAAGGTGTGCACAGGAACATGGGGGGAAGTGGGGAAGATAGAGAGCTCTCTGCTAGAACTCAGTTTCCTGATATGCAGGAAATGAAATGAGATGGTGAGCTTTGCCTTTACACGTATCTCTATTTTGCTTTACTTGACACAAGACTGTAAACATTTAGGGCTGGCCAAATAGGTCAGCGGACTAAAGCGCCTGCTTAGGCAGATGCAGCGGCCGAGGTTTGATCCCCCATGTGCTGTGCTGGCCCTGCCCCCAGGGCACGCTGAGATGGCACCTGTAATCCCAGCTCCTTGGGAGGCTGAACACAGGCAGATCACTATGAGTCAATCTACGTAGTGAGACCCTGCAGACCATTACTAAAAAATAAAAAAAAAGACCATAAACATTTTATTAGAAGAAAAAATATTTCATCATAAGAAGAAAAATGTGCAGCCAGGCATGGTGGTGCATCCTGTTGTCCCAGCACTCTGGGAGGCTGAGGCACAGGAGGATCCCATGTTCAAGACCAGCCTGGGCAACTTAGTGTCTGTTGCCTATCTGTTGAATGAGAGCTATCTCAAAAAATAAGACTGGAAATGGGCTCAGTTGAAGGCTCTGGATTTGATCTGTAATGCCACCAACGAAAACAAAAAGGGCCTTCATAAGGCCTTTGCGCAGAGGTTAGAGGTCTGCACTCTGGAACCAGCTGGGGTTGGTATGACCCCTCTGCACTTGCTGTGACATCACCTAGAGCCAGTTTCTTGCCTGGACTTCTTATGTTGCCTCTTCCTCAAATATCTACACAGTTACATGCAAAGGCCTGCGCGGGAGCTTGGAGCCTACCACAGGAGCTCAGGGAGCCCATCATTAGCTTCTGGTATCATACATTATATGAGAATAGTGCAATGTCTTCGGCACCCTTCCATTAGATTCCCTTAACCCACTGCTCTCTATCACAGGACCCAGGCTATTTTCTTCTCAGTGTTTTTCTAAACTTGTCTTCCCACATTTACCTACTGTGCACAAAGGACTTTTCTTCTCCTCCTCAAGTACCCAGCACCTAGTGCAATTCCTGGCCCACAGGAGACGCTGCATTTCTTAACTGAATCTATCACCCTGAGCACTCTCTAAGGGGAAAACAAAGTTTATTCATTCTCTTGCACAACAGCAAGTGCCTGTCCTGTTGTGTTTCTCAATGGAAGCTGCAGTCAATAGCAATACTTGAAAGATTATATTTATGCAAGCAAATTTAACACACTAACCACAACAGAACACTTTTTTGGCATATTCAAAATGCCTTTACCAAAGGCTCATGGCACACTTTCCCATCCTCTCCTGCGAGAAACCAAGCCACAGTGGTAGCAGGACCAAGCTGCCCAGCACTCGCTAGCCCAGAGCCCATGTGGCACAGTGCGCCCTGCATGTGGCCTCCTACAGGGCTCAATCCAGACCTCTTCTCCTCCTCATATAAGTCCCCAGTGACAATGGCCCAAACACAGCCCAAACTCATTCTGGAGCAGTCTCCTTACGGCCATTCTGTCTTCCAAACTCCCCAGCGGCTACCCTCTTGCTCAGATCAAACCCTAAGTCCTCGTCATGGCCTACAACACAGGTGCAAAGCTCTACTGGCTACCACCAGGCCTGTTCTACCACCTAGCCCCTCCCTTACATGGGCCTCTCTGCTCTGCACAAATGTCCCCTGAGAACCCCACTCTCGCTCCATGGGAGCCCTGCTTCGTTCTTTTAGACAGCACTCAGCACCACTCAATGCTGCAGCCACCAGTCACACAACTCTGTGAGAGGACCAGCTCTACTTTGCCTGCTGCAGTCTCCACGCTCAGAGGAGGGCCTGGTGGTGACAGTCAGCACTGCACCTACAATGCTCCCAGACTGGGGACACCCGACGCAGTGCTAACACTGGCAAGGGACAAAGCACAGTCCATAAAGCCCAGCTTCAGGCTGGCACTCAGGGCTCCTCCCTTCTCTGTCTTCAGCTGCCCTGCGTGAACAGTGTCACCAAGTCCACCTGCACGTCAGGCATGACTGCAGTGCTCATAAAGGTATATCACAATCACTAGTTTACTGTTAAGTCCTCATGTGCAAGATCACATCTTACTCATCCTTTTCTCTTAAGGACCTAAATGTGGGCTTGTGACCTCAGCAATAAATGGTTATGGCATAAACCAAAATGTAATCACACAGCTCTTGGCAACCTAAATTTTATAATATTTTGAGACGGGTCTCACTATGTAGTCCAGGCTGGCCTTGAACTCACTGGGCAGCTCACTAGCCTCAGGCTGATGGCAATCCTCCTGCCTCAGCCTCCTGAATGCTGAGATTACGGGTGTGCATCATCACAGCCATCTTGCAAGCTATATTTTAATTTCACAGTTGGTAAACCTGGGTGAGGTACCTTGTATTATTTTTATGAGGTCTTTTGTAAGTTAAAAATTAAAATTAAAACTAAAATTTCCTCCCAGGTCAGGTGAGGGCCTCCAGCTGCTCTGCCATCAGCACTGCTTCCCCAGTACCTGACTTGCTGCCCAACACAGAACAGACCCTACGTGAAGGCAGTCCAAGGGCAAGGTCCATCTGGGCTGTAAATGTCTGCAGTACTGCTATGGTCCAGATCAAAACTGTCTCCCCAAAGGCTCATATGTGCAGAGTGGGCGGGAGCAAGCTCTCAGGGTGAGGCCTGGCTAGAGGAGGCAGGTCACTGGCTTGTGAGCTCCAAGGCTGGGTCTCATCCCTGGCTCTCTCTCTCTCTCTCTCTCTCTCTCTCTCTCTCTCTCTCTCTCTCTCTCTCTCTCTCTCTGGCCTCTTCCTTTCTCTGCTTCCTGGCTGCCATGAGGTTTCTATACCCTTCCATCTCATTTCTACCTTGGAGCATCAGAACATGGACTAAGGGTCGGTGAGTTAGCTCATGTGGTCTAAAGCGTCTGCTTAGGCAAGCCTAGGCAGGCACAGAGGACTGAGATTCAATCCCCAGCATCACATGCCACACCAGCCCCACCCTCAGGATGGGCTGAGCCAGCCAAAAAAAAAGAACATGAACTAAAATCCCTGAAACTGTGAGCCAAAATAAACCATTTCTCCCTTAAATTGTTTATGTCAAGTATTTCTTGAGAGCAACCAAAAGGCTAAGAAGACACTGCTATACACAAGACCCTCACGTGCCTTTGGTAACTGCCCAGGGTCCTCGGTGAGCTTCAGTTCACCGTGAAAACAGCATTCACATATCACTCTAGCCCACGAGATGCTTTACAGGTATGCTCTTATTTCAATTTCCAGTAATTCTGAAGAGCAAATGTCATTTTTCCTCTTACAGACAATAAAACAAGTTTGCATATGTAAAAGCTCACCAAACAGAATGCAAAAAGCAAATGCTGCAGCGAAGTGACAAACCTGAGCTATAATTCAAGGCAGAACGGTGCTAGAGGAACCCGAAGTGCTCTGGACTCTGAAGAGAAGCTACTGCTCTCACTGGGATGCAACAGAAGCATCACCTTATGTAGACCTGAAGAACAGGCACACGTGCGTGCATGAGGTGGGAAATGAGCACCGGCACGCCAAGCAAAAGAAACAGCCTCGGAGAGACACAGAGTGTGGACCCAAGGAACACAGAGTAACCATTCAGCGAGAAGTGAGAGCAAGGCCAAGAGCGAAGGTGGTTTCGTCGTAATCTCTCTGAGGATTAAGCCTCAGACCTCAGCCAGCTCACAGCCCTGATGCTCTCAACGCTTTCTCTACCAACAGAGAAAACCAAGGACAGACACAGGATCCATCTATGTGACCTGCTGGTGGGCTGGCACCAGAATTAGAAGCAGTGGTTGTGCCAGCCATTGTGGACCATGTGTAAAATATTACAGTTTTGCAGTCAGCAGAGGTAACTTGACAGACACAGAAAATGACTGCCCCAGTAACAGAACCAGCGTGGCCCCCCACAGCATGAGCTGCCCAGGATCCTGGCTTCTCACTTAGTTCTCTAAGTCTCCTCTTTGCTGAGGTTTCTACTCCTTGACTCCTCAGCCCCTCTACAGCAAGTTATGAGGAAAACCTGACAGTTCCTTAGCAAAAGGAGGAAAAGGGGGAGGGCACACTCACACACAACCCTAGGAAAATTCATCTCCTCGCAGTGTATGCCACCAGACAGGGAAAACACAGAGACCCAGAACTCCAGGCGCCAGTCATGGACCTACAGAGGAAGGACCAGGGAGTGGGGACGGAGAAGCAAAGGAAGATACTGTTCCCTCCAACAGCACAAAATCCCCAGCATTTGAGCTTCTGGACCTGCCAAAATCTCCAGAAGAGATTCTGGTAAAAAAAAAAAAAAAAAAAGTTAAATCATGTGACAAGAAAAAAAAAAGAACAAGTCACAGATGACTACAAGCCACATGCATGTGACTAGAGGTTGAATGGTCACTAGCCAAACTGAGAGAGGAGGACGGGCACAGGTTTCTCTGATGCTTGTGCCCACCCCCTCCCTAACACCCAGCCTGATGAACAAGGCTGTGGGGTGATTGGCCCAAGGTGAAGGTAAAATGTTACAAAAAAGCAGGGTTGGTTGGAGAAACCCACCCCATAGTTGACTTTATTTAGTTAGTACTGAGAATCAAACTCAGGACCTTGTGCTTTCCGAGAAGGTGCTTGTGCGCTGAGTTATATCCCCCCGCCCCCCATCCCACATTTGAAAAGCCAAATTTGGAAATCATTCACACAAAGACTGTAGAAATGCTCTCAAATTGTTGTGCCTCGAGAATTGCTGGGGAAGCCCACCAAGTACTGTACACTGTCTCTCAGTCTCCAGAAAATCCGGTTCAGTTGAAGGTAACATTTCAACAAGGACCCCCAAAGACTACCCACACACTAGCAATCTAGAGAACAAAGAACACACCTTGCCACGGCCTTCCCCATTTTTTTTTTCCATTTTAGCTCTGCATCAAAAGCCCTACACACACACACACACACACACATTTTTTTTTAAGTTAATTTATGGTCTTCGATGTGGTCAAAACGGGGGCAGAAACTAAAACATCAGAACCCTGCCAAGGGGCGATTTTCAGCCACACCCCAGGCCAAATAATTACCATTCAGTAAGCACTGGTGGCTAAGAAAGCTGCATTTTTAACAAGCGCCTCTAGGGCGCAGAGAATGCTCTATAAATAGTTCTAATAAGAAAATATTCTTTAAAAAAAGAAAATATTCTCCATTGACTTAGGCCTCTCCCATGGCAAAACAACTTTGTAAAAGGTTAAAAACTGCACCATCTCCGGCTGCCGGAGGAACCGTGGAACGCGGTGATCCCGGCTCGCTGGGATTATTCCGCAAGGTGCTACACGCAGTCTGCCCAGGACAATGGAGCAACGGAGGGTGAGGGAGAAAACAATGCCACCTCGCCGGTAACGCGGAGAAATAAAACCCTGGCCCGCCTGAGGCTCGGGGGCTCCAGCTAAGGGGCATCTCGAGGTGGTGGGGGTGAGGGAGCCAACGCCGCTGCACCAACGTCCTTCGCCCCGGCCCTCAGGTGGCCCGGACGGCAGGAAAGACTGACCAGACAGACGCCGAGTCCCGGACCTTCCGGCGCCCAGGCCGAGAGCTCGACCTGCTCGTCCAGGGTGCCCGAGCAGCCCTGCCGGCCGCCGTAGCTCCCTGACCCCCGACCTCCGACCCCCGACCCCTGCCTGGCCTAGCCGGCTCGCCCCGAGACCCCTCCTCTCACCTTCCCTGGTCCTGGCCTCCTCTCATAACCGGGGGTCCCCGCGGCCGCCTCCCTACTCACCGTCTCACAAACCGCCTCGGGTATGGTGCCCTCAGCGCGGCGGATCCGGGCCGCAGCACCGCGGGCGGCGTCAGAGGTCTACAGCCGAAGAGCGGGCACCCTCGGCACAGCCCGCGGCCATCTTCCTGCGACACACTGACAGGTCACGTGACGGGGCTGGGCCGGAGGCGGGGCCCGGTGTTGTGGGGGCGGGGCCAGGGCCGGGGGCGGGGCGGCCGGCTGCGCTCCGCGGCGGCGCTCGGTGTGCGGGTGTGCGCGCTTCGCTGCGAGCTGAGCTCCGGGCCTCTGCGCTGAGCGTGATTCCCGGCCCGTTTTTAGTTTTTAATTTTGAGAAAAGGTGTTCCTTGAGTTGCTAAATTGTCCAGGGTGGGCTAAGACGACAATTCTTCAAAGCTTTCGTGAATGAGAGGAAGAGCGGTTGGAGGGGAGGGGGGTGGGGAAAAAAGAAACAGCAAGGTATAGCAAGTACAGGTGCAAATTCCCTAGGATAAATGTTACCTTTAGGTCCATCTAAAATGTACCGATGAAATAAAAATTAGAACAGAAACCTGCAGTTCCCCTGTCTCAGCCTCCCACACTGCTGGGATTACAGCTGTTGTTCATTGTCTCACTGCATAGTGCCCAACACATCTTTTCTAGGCAGATTGGATGTGTTCACTTGTCTCCCTGCTTACCTATACAGGGGCTGCCTGTCCCCATATCCCATGGCCACCAACTGCCACCAGGTGTCTGGCCTCAGTCTGCCTCTCTAGAGAAGTCCCCCCTCTGGCAAGGACTTCACTGTGCAGTGTAGCTGTCTCCCTCATTGTTTCATGAGTGTCTCGCTCACACACCGTCCTAGGAACAAAGAACAGACAGACACGGTACTCACCAACAGCCTGGCCACAGGGGCACACGTCTGTAATCCCAGCACACTGGGAGGCTGAGGCAGGAGGATCATCACAAACTCAAGGCCAGCCTGTGATCCATAGTGAGTTGAAGGCTGGCCTGAACTGTATAGTGACACCCATCTCAGAATGAATGAATGAATGAATGAATGAATGAATGAATGAATGAATGAATGAATGAGTTTGAAAATAAATGAGCTTGGGATGTAACTGCATGACAGAACACACCTGGGTTTAATCCTCAGTGCCACACACAGAGAAAAGCATTATTTACGATTTGTGTTTTCTTCTGAGGCAGACAGGCACTTAAAAAGTTTTTATTCTAAAACGAAACAGAACAAAAACAAAATCGGGTCTCACCACTTGGACCTGTACATGCCTGATAGGTAATTAAAAGGACAGCGAAGCCTCATTTTTGTTCACAGTGTAAAACTCCAAGGCAGGTCCATCCCAGTTCTGCGCAGAGCAGGTTGGAGCTTCAGGGTAGTCTGTGTCGGGGCTAGCAATTCAGTGTAATGTTGTTGTTGCTGTTTATGTATTTGGTACAGGGTCTCAACGCAGACTGGACTTGTAGTGATCCCTGTTTTCAGCCTCCCCAGTGCTGGGATTACAGGTGCTCCTGGTCTCCGTGGCCGGCTCAGCATGCCCAGGGGTGGGGCTCGCGTAGCATGGGGTACCAGGGTTCAAATCCCCGGTCCTTGAGCTTGCCTAAGCAGTCGCTGAGTCCACTGAGCTATCTCGCTGGTCCTAGCAATTCAATTTTAATAGCCCTGAATTCATCCAGCCCGACTCCTGCCCCATGTAGACTAAGAACCCCAGGGAAGAGCTACTTGGGAACCTCATGGTGTCCCCCGTGGCCTCAGTCACCTGTCATCTGGCCCTCCAGTGGAGCCCCATGTTCCTGCACCTGTCCATCCAGTGATGCAGGTCCTCCGCATGACGCGAAAGCTCCTTGGCTCCCAGGGACTCAGTGGCTGTCGCCCAGCAGGGCTGTGATTGCCAGTCATCCCCACTGTCCTCAAAGGTGTCCCTAGCTGAGGCCCACATCTGTGTCCCCTCAGCCATTACTCAAGCCTGAGCCCCCCCCCATCTCCTCTTATCTTCTTGCAGTTATAACATCTTTTCCTACAAACTCACGGATGCAAGTCCCCACGCAAGCCAAGAACACCACCAGGATTTTTGTTTTCCTCTTTCTTTTTAAGCAGAGTCTCACCTTGGCCTTGAACTCACTATGTTGCTCAGGCTGGCCTGGAATTCACAGCGATCCTCCTGCCTCAGTCTCCCAAGTGCTGGGACGACAGGTGTGAGCCACTATGCCAGCCTCATAATCGGTTCTGATAAAGCCAAACTCCTCAGCTTTTCTCACGAGGGCCCACATTGACGCATTGGTGAAAACACACCCTAACCACTTGGGCACTTGCTTTCTCTGCAGTACTGGGGATCAATGAACTAGGGCCTTTGCACTGAGCTACATCTCCAGCCCCTTGTATTCATTTATTTTGCAACAGTTGTTTTGCTAAATTGCCCAAGCTAAGCTCCAACTTGCAGTACTCCTACTTCAACCTCCAGAGTGTCAGTGCTGGGAATACACATGTTCACCATCAGGCCCCACCCTGTGAACCTCTGGAAAAGTCAAGGCTTGGCCCTCAGTGGAAGCGAGGCAAGGAATGTGGTTTTTAAAACACCTGTCTCCCCTGCTGACCTAAGGGATTGTGGTTCTCGGACTTTGTCTAAGTCAGTAATTTTGAATATGAACATCTCCTCTTAAGACGTTGACAGGTCGGGCATGGTGGCACATGCCCATGATCCTGGTACCCCAGGGGCTCCCTGGGCAGCCCACATAGCCACGGGAAGAGGAGATAACAGCACTAATCCCCAGCCCTTCTGAGGCAAGGTCTTGCTGAGTCTCTGACTTACTCAGGCTAGGCTTGAATTTGAGTCCTCCTGCGTCAGCCCCGAGTTACTGGAATTGTAGGTGTGTGCCACCACTTCCAGCCTCATTTTTTAATCTTAATTTTCTAAAAAGACCCCTAATACTATAGGCGGTTAGGGGCAGAAGGGTCTGTAGGTTGGAAGCTGTGGTGGAGTTCTTGTTGTCTTGAGACACGGTCTCACTATGGAGCCAAGCTGGCCTTGAACTTGCAGCGATCCTCCTGCCTCAGCCTCCCCAGGGCTGGGATCCCAGGCTTGTGTCACCATGCCTCATCATGTGGAAATAATCAGTTATTAGTGGAGTACACAGACCCCCACAGCTGAACCATGAGGAGTGGGTAGGGTGCATGGGAGGCAGGGTGAGAGTAGAGGCAATGCCCAAGTTTTCCAGGAGACCAGAAGGCCCAGGTAGTGACGTGGAGAATGCCCTAATCTATTGGCACTGCCAGGGTGATGCTGGACAGCATGACTGTCACGAGCCTGGGGGCAGAGGCCGTGCAGGAAGCCACTAGATTTAACAAGGGCATGTATACCCACGACTGCTCTTAGAACATGGCCTGGGCACCCTTGCAACGTACTGAGACCCTGTCTTAAAACATAGAAAAGGCTGGGAATGAGCTCAGCATGAAGGTTGTGGGTTCAAACCCCAGCCTACAAGAGGCTGTGTCCTCCAGACAGACGTGGGTTTTCTCGGAGCAGAAGGTGGAGTGTTCCAGAGCCGGGTGCGCAGTGGATTCTGGGATGGGTAGGGCTCTGGGCCTGGGGCGGGCCTCATGGAAGATGGATGCACAAAGAGAAATCCAAAGTGTAACATGATTTTCTCTTGAGTACTGAAGCCAAAGGATCTGGAAAATACAAATCTATCATCTGCTTTGATTTGACAAGAAGAATTCCACGCCTGAAGGCCTAGGGTTCAGGTTTGAAGCTGCTCATGTGGGGACTCCCCGGGGGCCCACATATTGTAAACTAGAAACCCTGCTTGTGTTGATGACTGGGATCCCAGTGGAACTGAGCCAGAAGCCTGTGATTTCGACTGAAGTCTCGTCTTGACCCTGGGAGCGGGCCAGGTCCTCTGGGAACAAACTGACTCAGAAGTCAGGCGCCCCTCATCTGGCCTGTCTCCTGCGGGGTGCATCTCGGGTTGTTCCACTGCCTGCCTTCCTGTCACTCTGGACAAGAAGTAATAGAACTGCTGGCTCATTTTATCCCTTTATGTCCTGACAGTGCCACCAAAAGAAATCACTCTCAGAGGAAGACAGCACCAGCGTGAAGAGAAGAACATACACACCACTGAACTCTTCTCACTGCTTTGAATTCTGTAAATGTAAATGGCACAGTAGCCCTTCCCTATAACCTAGGACTCAGGAGGCAGAGGCAGGAGGATCACTGGGAGTTTGAGGCCTGGCTGGGCTCCTCGGCAAGTTCAAGACCAGCTTTGACTACACAGTGAGACCCTGTCTCAAAAAACCAGAAAATAGTCATGACATGAATATTGTCACTCTATGGAAGACTCCTTCATAAAACAACCCATCTCATGAGAGCCAGAGCTTACCTCTACAGACAGAAGTCAGAGACTCCGAAATTAGCAAACACACAGCATATACTTTTAAACTACTATTTAATCAGTTTTAAAGACACGCAAATTAGAAAAAGGAAGAACATGTACATTAAAAACACCTTTCACACCCAGCGCTTGGCCACCAGTTCAGGGGGACTGACAAGGTGAGGTGTGGCCTCGGGTTTGTCCCATCCCCGCACAAGGGGACAGTGAGGGCTCCCGTTGACCGACTGTGCAACACCTGATTTAGGGATCTGTTGAAAAATAACACTTCTTTAAAAAAATATTTTGGAATGCTAAGAACAGAAAGCACAGCCCACACAAGACTTCCCCGAGGGAGGAAGTGTAAATACTGCCTTTGGTGGCCTGGAGTTAGGACATTGCAGATGACCCAGGGTCACAGCGGTGACATGTGGCTCTGGAGGGCAGTGGAGACAAGCCGCCACCCTCACTTGGTAGGATGGCAGCCTGGTTTCCCCAGGACTATTGTGAGTTTCATTCCTCCCCTGTGTCAAGGCCCTAGCCAGTGACAAGATGAGCTGGCTGGCTGCGGACACATTCGTGTTCAATGCTGGAGTCCTTTGGCTCATGATCCAGTGTCCTCCACTGACTAAGCCACGCAGTCACAACCCTAATACTGCACAGCATCTAAAAGCCTGTCACAGTCTCTTTGTATGTTTTGTCCTCTCATGTGAAGGACAGACAGAGACCAGGGCAGAAGCAGTCACCTGAGAGCCCTGT